GGTTCTTAGGGCCTGAGTCCAGGCCCGAAAACGGTGAGATCGCACAGACTCTAAATCTGCAACTCCGAGCCCCTGCAGCCATAGAACATAGGGCATCATTAGGGCGCGCGAGATCTCCGGGCCTCAGCTCAGGGTCTTTAACTTCGGGCTGTGCAGTTTAGGCGGCAGCATGTCGACAGATTTATCTTCCAGCTTAGGGTTTCCGAGGATGGTTCGTAGCTTGGGTAGAAAAACACAGGAGTGGTTGTCAACATCAGGGTTCCTTTTTGAGTCCTTATTATAATACGGCACCTAATGTGTGGGGTACCCAAAAAGGGACCATAATTTTGACAACCACCCATGTGTGATTATGAAGCTGGGCTTATACAGGTTCTGGCGTGTGATTGCGTTCATAAAACTTTGTGTGCACCTCAAGAACCGTATTCTAACACTATACACTATATGCGAAAGAAGCACATGGAGTCATGTATGCATGTTTCAAGCCCAGCTCTCCCTGCATCACTCTCCATGGCACATGGTCGGGTTGCTTCTTGTGTTGACAGCATGGGCGACGGAGGTTATGCTGGATTAAAAAAATATTGTCAAAATCATGTGATTCCCAGTCTAGGTAGGGAACCTTGCACCCCGAATCTAAGTGACCATTGTTCGTCCTGAGCGCTCTGCATTCCAATGCATTGCTCGATTGACTCGAAACTGTCCAGACTCCAGATCCTAATTAAGAGGGCCAGTTTACTATAGGGCTCTAGGGTTATAACCACTCTACTTACTAGGTCAATACTAGTTCAAGAGAGCCTCCAGCGAAGTCAGGTCCAAGAGTTTTGGCATTTCCTGCGGGACTACAAAGAGGCGCCTCCTGCGCTGCCAGCGCGACTCATCGGGTTGGAGACGTTTCCTTGGGAGCCAAGTTGCCTGTATACTTACCTTTGGTTAGTAGGGAATGGAAGAATGGTACTACTAATAGTAGTTATAATTGTACCCCATTCCTCCATTCCCTACTAACCCAAGGTAAGTATAGGGTTCAGAGTTAGGGTTTAGGCTTTGGCTTGTATAGGTCTTAGTATTTAACAAGGGTCGGCTTTCGATATAAACAGAGAGATCCCAATAGTTACTCTGTACGTAACTGGGTTGTGAGAGTTTGGTTTGTCCATCAGTAGTGCTGGTTTCAAGAACAGACTGTGAGGGTTTTTTCAAGAAGCAGTCGGCAACAGGCAGGTGTTGCACAGTTGCTTTCGTTCGGAAGTCGGCTCTCGCGAAAACGCTAAGGTCTCAACCTGCATTCAGCGTCCGAAACCTATTGCTGGGTTGTCCTTTTGGATCCTTTTTTTAACTTCCACTACTATTTTGTAGAGGACAATGATAGTAAATAGTTTTCAAAGGGCAGGGCTTAAAGGACAACTCAGATTGCCTCAGCCTTGCTCCCGAAGGCAAAAGTCCTATCAGCCCCAAATCCTGCCCCCTGCAACCCAAATAGGTTCTCAGCGCCAGAACCAGACCGCGAAGCGCAAAATCCACCCTTGCCCGAAGCGGTAATCCCAAGCTCGAAATACCATGCGTACCCTCTGTAGAGAAATCAACCCCCAACAGAACTGTTATAAGGCACCTTTGTCAACAAACTCAAGCTCATAGAACCCTCAGGCCCCCGTACACCAAAAAGCTTAAACCCAAACGCCCCGCAGCTCCTTAGCTGACGGTTCCTAAACCCTACCTTTAATCCGTAGGCCCTGAGAGCTAACTCTGAACCCTGAAGGCCAGAAAGTTCCTAAGCTCCTGAAACCCTCCCAGCACACTCTTTAGACTTATCTGTTCGTCTACAACCGTCTCTTTATCTAAGTCTGCACCAGCCTACATCTGCATCTGTGTCTTTCTATGAGAGAACCGAGAAGCACCAAAGATCCAGGTTCCCTTGAAGGATTTCGATGCTTCCAAGAGCCCACCCATTCCACGATTTACGAATCTCGATGCCCGGCGCCCTGAGCGAGTAACGTTCCGCAAGGGCCGTTTTGGCAAAGGGTTGTATAACATGGTTTAGATCGGTTTAGGGGGTGTATGCCGGGGCCTGGAGTTTGGATAGGTGTTAAGGGTATAGTGCAGAGTTCGCGGAGGCTACCATATCAATGGCTTATCAACAGCATATCATTTTGGGTGGGGGCTTGGTCGTGGTTTGTTTTGGGGTTTTGGGCTCAGTCTTCCAGATTCCTTCAACCTTTTTTGGCATAATTATGCGAGGCGGGCTTCTGCTTCAAAGATTGGATCTTGAAGTTACAGCCCTAGTCCTTGAGGGAAAGGGCTCCAGGTTTCGTGAGAGTCTCGGGCTGATAAGAGGGTTGCCAGATTCCGCGCTTGAGGACGAGACGTTCCAGCAGCTTGTTCGCGACGGCTGCAACCTCAGATCTTGGTGCACTATGACATAGGGGGCTAAATTTATTTGCCTACAGGATTTTGATGGTTCCGTATGGTCATCATGGTTAATGGGCCCCACAACCCGATTCTAAATAATAAGGCCCTTATATTACAGAAGATCTCTGCCGGCCCGACGTCTTGTCCTTCTCTTTCTTGGCTTGGGGTATGCTTTCCGGGTGTCGATCTGCAAGACACAGCCAGCTTTAATCAAGCCCACGAAACCCCCAAGATCACAATGATCGTAGGGTGTGACCCCTGAGCTACAAGCAGTTTGCCTTGAAGACATCAGGTTATTGGATCCACAGGCAAGTCTTAAAGCCACAAGCCATCTCGATGTCCTTCGGGCTCCCACTCAGGCCACTGCAAGCCATGCTGTTCTCCGATTTTGAGCGTAGGGTTCCGAGTTTAGGATTCAGGGTCTAGACTCTCTGATTTGTAGGGTTCAGGGTTCCAAGTTTCGGGTTGAGGATTCGGGTTTTGGGTCTCGGCACCTTTGGCGTGAGCAAGCAGGCCCGTTGCTCGTCAGCCTCTCGGTTAGGCGAACTGATTTCAGAATTTCAGCTAGATCGCGACGGCCAAGGCAAAGCGATTTCTTCATCTGAAGACGTCTGGATAGATTGCTGGAAAGACCTTATGCTATCGTCTCGCATGTTCGACTTCAGGCGTTCCATTTGTCGTGGACGACTGCACCAAGAACTTCGACCAGGATGCGATCAGCCACCTGACTGTCAAGTCAAGCTATTGCATCAGTTATTGCAGGGTTTCGGGTTCTCGCTGAAATCGAAGTTGCTGCCATCAGCATGTGGACTTCCGCGTTCGCGCCAACTAAGCCCGCTGCAGGTCTTGACCTCGCAGTCACGCAACATTGTGTCGTACCTCAAAGCTTTAGCCCTCGCAGTTCTTGTGCGGAAGAGGCTACCTCCCGAAGATCCTCAGTTCAGAGTTTGCATGATGGAGACTCAACACGGAAGGTTGTCGAATGAACGGGTTCATTGCAAAAAATGCAGGGGGTTGATTGGGGCTTCGGGATTGCGGGGTTCGGCCAGGGGCATGTTTTGGATAAAGGAGTTTGCCATTGAAGTTTCCTAAATTCAGGATTGAAGCCTATTCTGGTGATTACTCTGCTGTTGCTGCTATGCCGATGAGAATTCCGCATTCCGAACCCCGGTGGTTTCTTCAAACTGTATAGGCAATCTCGCAAGAAAAAAATGTGCCAAGAAGCCGGGGGAACACACCCAAAAGACGAGCCGTTCACTTTGCCGGTCAGGTGAGTTCGAATGCCGCGGCCTCACAGCGCTGAAGGTGTGTCCGATTCAAAGTTTCTGGGTGCAGCAGTGCTCCCAGATGCAGCATAGGCTAACCTTTGATATTGGAGGAGCTAAGGAGCCAGGGATGATGATAATCCCTATTGAATAAGGAGCTAAAGAGCCCAGGGAACCCCAAAACCACTGGCTAGTAGGACACAGGCTTCGAACACAAAAGCGAGTTTCTAGATGCTGCGGGCTTGCAGTTGGTCTTGCACCCCTAGGCCAACAAGCCTTTACAGAATCGTGGGGATGGGATTCAGGCGCTCCGGGTTTCTGAAGCTCCCACAACCTTTTCTTTGGTTGCCAGGCCAGGGTTGCCTCCAACAAGTAGGCCTGAACTGTCCCACTCCTTTAATGCGGCTGATGGACACGATCCTGCATGATCATAAATGCCCTAATCTAGGCAGTGTTCCTTGTTACCGACCACGCCGTAGGATCCTCGCTCGAAAGATGCCAGAAGCACATGAGCCACTATTTGCCTATCTAAGCAGCGGTTTCTCGGTTTTATCACAGCCAAGCGCTTCCACGCCCGGGCTTCTAGCAATGGTCCTTCAATCCCAGGTAAGGACTTCGCGGACCGCTGGCCAACTGGCAACATGAGGGCGGAGTACACACCCGGACAATATCACATCTACTTAAAGGACTGGAACGGCCACGGTTCCGAGTTGAGGGTCGGTGTATTGCATTTGGAGATTTGGGATCCGGCTGTAGGTTTACACCCGATAAGTACTGCTTTTGTCATGAGGCACTGTTGAGTTGGGTCTGGGGCTACAGGAAATAGGAAAAGTATGGTAGAGTATAGATAGGGACTACACATCTTCATGCCAGCTGCAGCCTTATCATCTCGCCGCAGCCGGTGTTATGTCCACGGACACCGTCAGTGTTTTCACCTCCGCCACCACCCCTCTGGCACTGTCATGGTCAGCACCGTCCTCAGCACCACATCGGCATCATACTCTTCGTCCTCACCACCCTCACTATGCACATGCTCATGGTCATCCGGGTACTCAGCATCACAGCCGACAACGTCGTCAACATCACCTTATCTCCGCCAACATCATTAGGATTCATCGTCATCTGCGCCATCATATCTTTCACCACCGTCCTCAACATCATCACGGACATGACAGTCAGCATCATCAATATATTCATCCTTGTCGCCATCGTCGTCGTCATCTGCATGCTGACCACAATCCCATTTTAGCGTTGCGCCACTATCGACCGCAGCGTCATCTCAAAATCTGGCTCAAGCAGAGAGCGGTTGTGGGAGTTGGCAACACGCGCCATGCTCTCATGCCGGCGTTTTCCATTTGCAGAGTGAGTTCCGTGGCACAATGAACAACTAGCATGAGTACTCTGAGTCGTTGCGCAAGGCCAGTCTAGATGTATTGATGCTATCTCTATTGTTCAGCTATGACCTGGAGCTGTTCTGGCTGACTAGCTAACGGTCTTGAGCTATTTCGTTTTGGGACATCTGAAATCAACAAGACTTTCAAAGTTATGGCTGTTGCAACCCCCCAACCCTACACTCCTTGAATGAACTAGACTGGTGTGTGTTCGCTTACAATGCTACCAGATGACCCTTAAAATACATGTTGTTTATATGTAGGATGCGGGGGAGTCCCATCCGATCTTCAAAGAGGCAGAAACCAACACAAGCAATTCTGGATGAATGTATATGTGGGAGTTTCCGAAGATAGGGGACCCCAATGGTGCACCCTAAAGATATTAGGATCTTTGTTATAAGGACCCCAAAATAAGGTACCCCATGGTACCCCTCATTTTCGGAAACTCCCACATACACATTCATCCAGAATTGCTTGTGCCAGTTTCTGCCCCTTTGAAGATCGGATCTCCGGCTTAAAACTCAGAGTTTAGGCTGGCTAATAATTATAGGGGGCCACATATGAAGTTCCTTATTGTGTTCATAGTCTCATAGACCTCAAAACACTGTTCTAATGATTAAAGCCCCTACGTTACGTTCCCACGATGTTTCGATAGCTTTCGTAGTTCACGAAATCTGTGTCCTTTCAACCGTGGAACCCTGCAATCCTAGTAGGTACTCAACCAACGGCAATTAGCCTGGTATGTGAAATCCACATGCAGCCAGTCAACTGTCTCAGGTTCCATGTTCCCATCGTCGAGAATGGGCTCGTTTGCGGCACTCCTGGTGGTAGCTTGGCTTCATTGTGAGAGTTAGTGTTGCTGGAAGCGTCGCATACATGCCAGGACAAAGAAGCATTGTTGCAGTTTCTGGCTGGGACCGTTAGATCGGTTCATGGAGCCCTTAAAGGATGTATAAGCAGTCCTTTAAAGGGATCTATCAGGGTTCCTGTAAAGGGGATCTATAAGAGTTCCTTTAAAGGCACCTTGTAACCCGAACCCCGGTTCCCGGGCTGGGCAGGTGGTGGTCTCCATGCTCCTCTCGAGCGCATCCGCACCCTGTCCGCAGACCGACTCGAGTTTAGGGTTTAGGGCGGGGTTACAAGGAGATCAGGGAGTATAAGGCTTAGGAGTTATATGGTTTACACGTTAAGGATTATCAGGTGTAGGGTTTATAGGGGCAGGCCAGCTGCAAGGGTTTATAGGGGTTTTAGGATAACTAGAAGGTTAACCCGCAGACTCCAAGTGTACGAATGGTGCCGCCTTTGGCCTCTTTTTTTACAAAGAATACCAGCTTTGGCCCGATTTGGAGTGTCCGGTTAAAGAGAGCTCCAGCTTCACACAGGTTTTAGGTGCAAGTAAGGATTCATGGTTTTGGTTGGGTGAAGAGGCAACTCTTGGCATGACGAACTGAGCGGTGGTTCCACCCGTCCCAAAGACTCAAGTCGTAAGTTGAACTATGCACTGCGAACTTTTTACGCTGCCTGATTCCAAGATCTTGCTCAATGAGCTCGCAATGCCTAACCTGAATAATTAAATGTACCTTGTCGGGGTAGTATAATAATATGGCAATAATATGAATACAGGGACTATAGCGGGATACTGGTTCTAGGAGTTTGGTACATGACAGGCAGCCGTTATACGAAATAACATATTTCATAGCACGCCGCACGCTTTGAATAGCTGAAAAGCCGCTCGAAAGGCCTTGAAAGCCTTGCAACCATGTTGATCCAAACACCTAAAATTCAAAACCCCGCCTACTTGGGTTAGTTTGGGCTTGCGTGGCAACTTAAAAGGGTGCAGCCGCCATAGGCTAGCAATTGTTGTGAAAACCGGGACTCTTATGCCCCAAACCTGGGCGTCTAACACCCTTGACCCTGAGCCGCAAGGCTTTCCGCACCGAGCCCAGTGCCGTCGTGGCACCGTCTCGACGAGGTTGGACGTATGGGCTTAAAGTTTAGGTTTTTTCGGGTTCAGGGTAAAATATAGGGATATTGGTGACGAGACCTGCGAGGTTCGGGGGTCCTTCAATGTTTTTGGCTTGATTGTGAGATTTTGAGAGTTTGGAAGGACGTTTGGGCGATCTCGGTTTCTGCAGGGGCAACGGCTGTGGGTTCTAATTCTGCTGTGTTGGTCGAGCTTGAGAAGGTTTCAACTTTGTTTTTCCACAGGCTTGTCTGCTCCAGCTGCGTGCCATCAAATGCCTAGTGTCGCCGTGGCTAGTGGTAACCGTGGTGGCAGTGGCACTGGCGACCCTATACCCCCCATTCCCCCCCAAACCCCAACCCCTAAACCTTAAAACCCTAAGCCCTACCCCCCCCACCCCCCCCCCCAACCCTGAAGCGCTGAACCTCTGGGAAAGACGAGGAGGGGCCAGAGAGCACCCACTGGATACGGAGGCGGGCTGGTCTTCGTTTCACGTTGGCTTTCTGCCGGGCGAAAGGGCTCTAGTTGTATACTACTACTACTACTACTACTACTACTACTACTACTACTACTACTACTACTACTACTACTACTAATTACTACTACTACTACTACTACTACTACTACTACTACTACTACTACTACTACTACTACTACTACTACTACTACTACTACTACTAGTACTAGTATTAGTACTCCTACTATACTACTACTAGTGCTAGGGATTATCTCTCTAAACCGTTTAAACCACCAGCTCTTCTTGATATGTTTGCAAGCTTCAGGCCAGAGGTGTTGGGATGTTGAGTGTTTTTACGTGTTGGTGTCAGAGGTTGCTTCTGTTGATTGGCCTGCTTCGGGCATCTGGGCTCTCATGGTTTGAACATTCAGGGTAGTTGATTGCTTCAAGTCCTGTTTGAAGCTCGTAGAAATTTCTATGCACAAGCTTGAAAAATCTGAGATTGCATGGTCTAAACCCTTGAGCCTTCGGGCTTGGTTTTACGGCTTAGGATTGAGACTGTGTGCCTGGACACTTTTACTGATCTCGTCGAAGACGTGACCGGTTCTCAGGTTAAGGAGTTCAGTGCCCCATATGACCGTACTTAGGTTTTAATGATAGAGTCGCTGCAGATCGGATGCAAACAAGGGTAGCACGCTTGGCAAAGCTCCAGCATGCACAACAACATCAAAAACCCTCCGCCCAGACATGATTACAAAACGTGCGGACCTCCTTGGTTATGTTGCTGGGTACACGCCACCGACTCGGAAAAGACTACAAGAGCTGTTGCATGAGTCTCTACTGGGACCCTCGTCTAAACCCGCGGTCAATGCTTCAAAAGTCCCAGTCAAGAAGCGCAGGAAGGTCGCCGAAGCAGCCGCGTGTCTCGGTCTGTCTCGAACCGGGCCTGCGACGATGTTCTGGGGCAGACAGCCTAAGTCCTAAACCCGAAATCCTAGACCCTAAACCCTAAACTTTTGGAGATCTCTGATGTGGTCTGATGAGTGTTCTTTGTCTTTTTCGATTGGGGAAGGCTGGAGTGGGGTGAAGACAGGCTCGAAAGCCATTCGGCATCGGGCGGCTGGTCAACGTCAAGACAGCATCTTTACTGGCGGTATTCCTACTATCTGCTGTTCGTAGTCATTTGATGACAAGAGACGCATACCGTATCCTATACCCCCGTTCCATTCCCTCCTCGCATCAACCCATCAGAATGAAGTCAAGCTACCAAGTTCCTGTGATTGTGCCAGCTCAGCCGTCTACGTGATGCTCAGAAAATAAAACTATTCTGCACGGTTCTCGGCCGCCCGCATTCCATGCTCCGTAATAACTGTGCCGGAGGTCTAGAGCAAGTCGCGGGGCTGTAGTAGTCCCTGTAGAATCCCCAATAAGAGTCTCCATAATCCATTCCCCCATTCCCTGCTAAGAACCTAACAGCTGTCTCCTAAAAGGGTCCTGGCTCTCTTCCGTTTCCCACTCTCTTCGAAGGATCAGCTTGCTGTTTTCTAGCTTTCTCACTCGTATACATTTTGCTGCTTTGCTCCTTGGATTTCCTGGGTTCCTATGATACAAATGGGATTTTCCAACAATTAGGCGTACCTTGAACTATTTCGGGGATCCTACTATTTAGGGTCGGAAACTCCCAAATGCACAAAACACACGCCAGCCGAGATTGTCCCTTTCCTGATTGTCCTGGTGCTGTCGCATCCCCCATCGATGGTGGTCGTTCGTACCGGATGCCTGTGTGAGAGAGAGAGGGGCTTTAGAGGGGCATGGCTCCATGCACGTGTGGTCTCAGTTAGTGTGTCCAGCCACTGGTCCTTTTCAACAGCTCGTGATCGTGTGGTGCCCCAGTGTGTGAATCCCGAAAGAGTCGGCATGCCGCCAGAGTTCGAAGGTGCCGGCAGACCTCAAAAAACATACACGACATCCTATTTCACATGGCTTAGAAAGGTATATAGGGTTCAAGGGCATGTGGTGCGCTCTGCAAGAACGAGGTGGGCACGGGGCCGACGGGGCCAGGTGCAACTTGGCTGGCACTAACAGGGAATTTCATTTTGTAGGTTGTGGCTGGACATACAAGCCGGAAGGCAAACTCTACATGCGATTTGGAGCACATCCTGCAGTGTTTGGGGGAGGAGAAGATATGGACGCGACTGTTTGGGACAATGTAGGCCGTTGATAAATTTTAAACCTAAAATGCCTTACGTACTTCTTGGGCCTGTTATGACCCTCATTGAGGAAGGCATTTACATATCAGTTCGTATCGTTTTGGGTCTGTATGGCGGTTTCTTTCGGACGACATGGCACTTCAGAACCTTGGGTTAAGAGTCCGCTTTTCCACAACTTTTGGCCTGAGTAGCTAACCTTTAACCTTTTGGGGCTCATGTATTCCTATCATGATTTTGCTGGTTAAGCCTTCTGGGCCTAAGGATACTCAGCCCCTGAGACAACATGGCTCTCCTTGGAACTGTAGACCTAAGATGCCTTTGACTGAAAGTAGCCGGAGCTATATGTTACAGTATGTGCACTCAGTCACCTAACCCCACGTCCCAAAAGCCCCACCACCCCGGAAGACTGAACCCCAAGGGCCACAGCTCGACAAAGCTCCAAGCACCCCAAACCGAAAGGACCGCGAGCGTGAAGGCAGACGAAAGGCCCCATAAGCCATACCGCCAAAACACTGCTTATCCTTGTTATTGCTGTCTTCGTTCTTTTGTTCATCTTTTATTCTCCAAAAAGAACAGTCTTCTTCTTTCTTATCCGATAAGAAGAGCCAAGCCCTAAACCCTGCATTCAGGAGACGCCCTGGCTCCTTCCGACCGAGAACGAGGCTCAACTCCGCCGTGGTTATGCCTTTTTAGGGTTTAAGGTTTAGGGTTTAAGGCCTAGGGTTTAGGGATTGTAGATCTGGCTCATCGGGAGGCACTTCGAGAGACCTCGTTCAAAAAGGGTTTTGGGGTTATAAGGTTTAGGATTTGTGGTTTATAAGCGTTTTATTTTGGTCTAGGGGTGGATCTCTGGACGGGACCCTGAACCTTAAACCCTCACCCTGCAACGTGGGCTCGTCCTTGCGAAGTAGGAGGCAGCAAGCCCTCACCATCAAGTTTTGCTTCTTAGGGACGCGTCTTTACAGAGTTTATTTGTGAGCAACCTGTGCCCCGAAACCCGCGCCGAAGCCCTAGAATGCTCGCACTAACGCCCTTGTCGTAGCCGTGCGGAAGAGGCCCTTAGTGCGCACCCTTGTTTGAGATTTTTAGGACAATTTATAGAACCCGTATCTGGACTACAAAATCGCACTCAACCCCAAACCCGAAACAGTCTGGCATGGAACTCTCTGGCACGTTTTTGCTTTTACTATGAGGGCCTGACTCCTTTGAAGCTGTTTTAGCCAAATTTTGAAAGCGGTCCTTGCGAGTTGGGATTAAAGGCGTCAATTCGTGCCTCTGGGTCAACAGCAACAACGTCCTTGCATAGTGCTTTTCTTAGCAATGTCCTTGTCTAGTCTTTGTTTGTACAAATACACAGAAAATACGGCACAACCCCGTTCAAACTGTACTATTCATGCGATGTGTTGGACCCTCCTCCCTGCGATGCCCTGAAATGTTTCGGGCATGGGCTCGACTTGTAGGGAAAGAGGTTGAAGCTGGAAACTCTTGAACGCAAAGCCTTCGAGTGGGCTTTTGCGCCTGTAAAGTGTAAGGGCTTCAGGAGTTTAGTGAGCAAGAAGCCAGATTCGCAGCCTATCGAGGATGCTGGTACTGTTGCACCGGAACGACTTCTCGGGTCTCGGGGTTCTGGAGTCATTACGTAGTATTAGGGATTTGGTTCTGGTGTGTGTGAGTTGAAAAGTGCGGAGTTGTTTCAACAGTGAGTGAGGGTACCAGAAAGCCCTGGACCGTCACGCGCTCGAAGTAGTCGTCGGACTCTGATTTCGACACCATGAGCAATCCCCAGGTGGCTAGCTTTCTAGATTACAGCTTTTTTTGGATTCTTGCGGACTAATGGATCCAAAAGGGGCTTCCCAATTCCATGTCCTTGTCTGGCCAGGGAATGGAACCCCGCAGCTTGGACAATTTTGATGTTGAGACAGGTCGAGTGCATGTCGGGTCCCTTGTCGCCAGCAACGTTTCTGGACGCCATTGTTGACTTTTAGGGATGCTTCTAGATAAGCTGAAGGGGAAGTTGTAGTGGCCCCAAGCTTCCTACTTGCTCTTACGCCATCACGGGAGCCAGGGAGTATTTCGGTGCTAGCACGACATGAACCTGATCTGGTTGAAGGTGGCGAAGTAGAACGTGGAGCAGTCAGCCAAGGTCCCCCGCATTGGCGTGGCCAGCGTGCTGTGGACTGGGACGAGGCCACCGCCCACCGGTAGTTATTTATCGCATTAATGGCGGCATGGTCAGGCCTGCTCTCTAGCTTCTCGATTTATACATATACATATATATATATATATGTTATACATATGTTTTTACCTGATACCCCGAGCACTTTGCGCCCTAAACCTGACATACTGTGCCCAGGAGTTGTGAAAACTGTCCTTCTGTCATCTGGACCTCCCAGGTTTTGGTACAGTAATTTCTTCTTACCGAGTGGGATTTCAGAGTTCAGCATGGGCACGTACTCACTAAGTGGTTGTGGTCAAGTGTTCGTCCTGGCGGAGTCGGAGCCGGCCTGCTTCAAAAATTGCCCATGCTGCCAGATTGTGCATTTCGAGACTGTCTGGTCTGAGCTGTATGTAGAGACCGAGTTACAGATGTGGGTTCAGGGTTGGTTGTAGGGTTTAGGGTTTAGGGAGTTTGTACTGGCTTCACAGAATTCACCTTCGCACCAACACCCTAGCCACATCGCAGGCTTGAGAACCCTCAAATCTAAGCCTAAGCTTGAAAGCCTGAAATCATCAACCCCTATAGTCCTGAAGCCCCGAGCGGTTGTACTGCTTTCTTATGTAGTTAGAATAATCGAAGCATTGACGACTGAGGCAAGACCCGAACCTGCAGGCCCAGGTACCTCCTCCTTATAGTCAGGAAGAAAAACATCAGAATACCCTGCAAATAATCAGTCACTATATCACTATACTTTACTTCACTACACTGCACTAGACTATACACTAACATATTGCATTTTAACAACACCATGCAATACTATACTGTATACTATACTGTGATATACTGTGCTTCCTATACTGTATTGCGGTATACTATCATATAATACAGTATTGAAACAAGTACTATGTGGAAACTCACCCCAGCCGAAATCGTTAAGACCAAGCGGCAGGTCCAGAAGGATTCCCCGAATGCGAAGGCGCCCGAAGGGGCTTCCGAAAACTTTGCGTTTAGGGTTTGGGGGTGGAGGGTCCGCTAACCCCTAAACCCCTAAACCCCAAACCCTAAACCCATAAGCCCCTAAGCCCCCAAAACCCCTAAACCCCAAACCCTGAACCCTACAACCTTAAGCCCCTAAACCCCTAAATTAAAACCCTACACCCCGAAGCCCCTAAACCCTAAACCCCGGCTTCTCAACAGCGGAAGGTCCCAAGGCCAAGTAGAGGCTGCTGGGGCTCGACCGGGGATCCCAAAGCCTACCGTTTTAAGGGTTCTACCCTCTAATTATAAGGGGTCATAACCTACTATTCGGTAGGGTTTGGGGCCACAGGGAGGCACTACAAGTTTCCGAAGAGCTGTTTGATCTCAACGCCCCAAGCCAGTCCAAGTTCACAACATTCATTACTCCGTTCGTTATTTCGGGCTTCAGTGGTATCTGATGATGGTTTTGGCTCAATCGACATTCAAGTTCTATGAGGTTTTCCCTGATGGTATTTGCAGGATATAAACCCTGGATAAACATAGTCAAGGCTTCCTCTGGGTTTCTAGGTGCTGGTTCTGCTGAGCGCAAGATTCAGCCGCCCATGTTTCGCAGACTTGGTCACAGGATCTTGACAGCAGAATCCTAAGGCCAACCCATGAGCCTTAGCCGGCACAAGTTCTACAGATCCTGAACTCCTTGAACTTCGGATCCTACAAGCCTCAGGGTATGTGGTCGAGTCTTTAAGCCCCACTCCCGAAGTTTCGATTTTCGAACCTTCGAGATCTTTGGGGATCGTCCTTTCGCAGGAGATCCTCATCGCTGTCGGAGGCGGTGCCTCGAACGCAAAGAGGCTCGGGGTGGCGAGGATCCCAGAGGTCTCCGAATTTCTTAGATCTGGCCCCGGACAGTCTGTGTTTAACAATCTATTATGCTAGTAGTAGAGTAGGCAACCTTTAACCTTTTTTCGGGTAGTATAGTCCCTATATAGTCCCTATATACCCAAAAAGGTTTAGTTCCCCATGATACCCGACAAGTAGGCTATAGTGTAGCATACTTCAACACCTCAGGCCCTGGCCCGACCAAGAAGGCCCGTGTGTTATGAACCCTAAGGGTCCATGAACCCATATAGAGATACATGGGCCCCAAAGTACCCATATAGGGACTACATTAAGGCCAATGGACCCTTAGGGGAAGCCATCATAGATCCTTCAAGCAAAAACCTGCAATCCGGTAGTCTGATGATTCACGCCCCTCGACTACTTTCTGGTAATGAAGGAATACAGGGGCTGTGTAAGGACGGCTGGTATCGATTCCCCCGATGGAGTGTAGACCCCAAGTCCCTTCTGTTTTTTAGGTATTTTCACTATAGGCATTAATACAGTTCAGTGTATTTACATAGGGGTTGGGCAAACGGTTTCAGCTCTGAGCAATGCATGGACTGCAACTTACGATCGCTCAGACGCAGCTCTGTGGAGTTTGCGAAGCTCAGAAACGGCTTGGATTCAGACCCCCACCGAAAAAAGCAGGAAAGGAAGGATCGCCGCCCTGCCCTAAACCCTGTACCGTAAACTCGTGCAGTTTGGTTTCTGTTCTGCGTGCCTCGACTTTCTGGTTTCCGAGAACATCGGGGCAATGAGCAGTTTACACCAACACGGGAACCTGCCTAAGAAACCCTGGTCCTCTAGCCGCAAAATGTTCGGATCCATATACAGGACTTTAATCAAGACAAGATTTCTTAATCAGGTTCCTCCTATTAGGACTACCCTCGCATTCGGCAAAAGATGTACCCGGAAGCCCTTGTCAAGCTACCGACACGGTGTCGGCTTTGCTGAGGTACGGGTGCTGGAACTGGGACGGGAAGCGCGAAGATGGACCGGGACCTTATCCGTCGACGCTGAGCATGGATTCTGCTAGAGGGGCTGAGTATGGAGTGCTGTGAGCCCGTGAGCCCTTAGGCCCAGAATAGCATACGAGGCACGGAGCCCATTCAGCATCCGCTTTGGGAGAAAATAAAGGAATTGCGACAGTAACAGTCACACCCAACACCGCCTGTACTCACTGTGGAGAAGTAATTAAAGCGAACCTGATTCAGCGTGTCGGCCAAGGTATGCGCTACCAAGACAAAGTTGTGCTGGTCTTGAGCCATGGCTGGATGTAGTCGTGGTCATAATGTTTGTCGTTGCCATGGTGGTCGTAGTCGTAGGTCTGCAGGGGAGGATGGGTTGATTTGGTGGTGGCGGTTAGGGTGCGGGCTTTCGAGTTTCGGAGTCCGGCCTGCTGCGCGGCATCCGCATATAATTCTCCCAAAAAGTCTGCCAACCACCCCTAGGCGCAAAACCCCAATCACGGACAATTCACGTCAAGGATGCTTGCGGCATATTTCATCGCCTTGATGTTCACCGCGAGCTTGGCTTATCGTCGCTGCCCGAGACTGTGTGAAGCAGGAAGAGATTTATATCCAATACACCCACAGGTTCAGCCGAGCCATATTCCTGAGATCAACATGAGAAACAGCACTTATTGTCATTGAGAGGACTGGCCGTGTGGATTGGGTTTACAGAAAGTAGGCTGTGGTTGGTTGTGCAAATGGCTCCTTTGCAAAGTTGCTGTGCGATTCCTCAGCCGGAGAAGTTCATTGCTTCACATAGATACCAAATGGCACAGAGGCAATGCCGACTTGCACAAACAGTGGACACTTTCCAAGAAGGAAAATCCAGAATTCCGTGTCTGTGAGCATGTAGCAAACAGCCCTATGGACCAATAAGGCGTCAGGGAGGCACCCTGAATATCTGAAAGTTCATATGCCTTAATATCCAAAGCCCTGAAGCCCTGAAGCCCTGAAGGCTTCAACCCCAAGCCCCAGCCCTAAGTACGGAGAGGGAAGACAACCTAAGTACTTCTTCAGGTAGGAGGCAAGCAAATATCAACAAGTACTTCCTCAAGCCCGAGACCTTCAACGCAAAGCCGCGGTCCACTGCTCCTCCCGAGGTCAGGCGTCCAACAGCTCGCCGGTGCGCTTCTACGGCGATCCGCGTGTGGAAGACCTGGTGCCTTGCTGGATTTCGGATGGTTCTGTGAAATAGGCCTTTTAGAGTCCCTTAAGAGAGATCTATAGCGGGTTCCTATAGTTTTTCTATCAGGGTACTACAAGGGGAGCTATCGATTTTCGTGTCCCTTTAATGGGGGCCTTTTTAAGGGTGCCGTACTCGTTTGGGGACCCCAGACGGGGACCTTATCTACTTCTTGAGAACTACCCGGAAAGTACATGGTTTTGGCTCTTAGGGTTTATGCGGGGGGCCATTTCTCGGGATTCACTATTCAGGTTGGGATTTAGGTGGTTTGGGGCTCATCGGCTCATGGGTGTGATTGCTAACAATGAGATGCCAGTTTTAGGTGAGTTTTGGAGTTTGTGGCGGCTTGGATAAACATTGACGAATTGTGTTCGAAACCAGAACGGTAATCAAGATTGCTTGGGCTTTGTTTTGAGATCCTCCTTCGCCACGAAAGCCTGAAATTTGAATTACACCCCGTCCCCCCCGAAATCCCCAAGCCGCAAACTCGATCTCCCTGAAACCTGTATTCTGAAACCCGAACGTCTCTCCTGGTAAATCTCTTAATTGCAGCGTTTAAACACCCTTAGAGCCCTGTACCGCTCAAGAGTCCCGCTCAGAAACCCACCGAAAGCCTGTAGCCGTACAACCCTTGCAAACCCAACCACAAGACCTTCGTCTTACGGCGGATAATGCCAGATGACAGACAATGCCGATGCCGACGACTTCCTCCACGTTTTTGCGCAGCCTCCGAGGTCCCAAATTTGGGATATAGGTTGAGGACCCCAAAATTTGTTACCATGATGGATGACTGTGTTTTCTTAGTGGGGTAAGTGCAACTAGATCCCTGAAAGCCTTAATCAGTGTAAGTTCCTGAGCAAAAACCAAGTTGGGACCCTGTGCCCTGGGTTTCGAACTGTTTTGAAGGAGCACGTGGATGTGGGTATAGCGCTTCAGGTGAACAGACAGTTTTAAGGATGTCTAAGGGTGTAGGTGTTGGAGTTTCGAGGTTGCTGACGTCTGCTGGCCGCTAGATCAAAGTCTTGAACCCTCGAAGTTAAAGCGTAACCTTGGCCGCCAAAACCTAAATGTAAAAGCTCCGCGCTAGAATATCCTTCTCAGTTGTCGCTGAAATGGTCGAGACAGGCTGCAGTTTCTTTTATTTCAGGACTCGAAGACCCAAGTGTACATTCAAGTTTTGGATGTGCGGCAGGGTGCCTTAAAATAAGGTCCTATGGTTCGGAACGGTTCCTATCTGGCTGTAAAGGGCCGCTGTTGAACATGGATCGTGAGAGTGCTCTGAGACTCCTCTGGGGTTGCAAACCCCCCTATGAGCTTTCACGGAACAGCAAGCCTTCCAAGCCCTCAGCTTTGAGGGCATGTGAAGCTTCCATGTTCCTAGATAGACGTTTAGACCCCGAGCTTGGAAAGGGTTAAGAGATGCAAGCTGTCGGGCTGCGGGTGTCCGGAATGCAGGACCGCAGATCCGACTTTGGGGAAGGCTAGGGTGTACTGCAAAGGCTTTTCATGTGCGAGTTTCCCATAATTAGGGGTACCTTATTTGGGGGGTCCTTATAATAAGGATCCTGCTATTTAGACTACTATATTTGGGTCCCCTATTTTAGGAAACTCCCTTTTCATGGGGGTTTATAAATTTTCCAGAACGGATCGGGGCAAGGGGTCGGCAAAAGCTGCTTTGACCTTGGAGCCAGGAGCGTTCAGCTTTGCATCCAGGGCATGCTACCTGTACCTGCCTCTTGGCGAGCCTGTGGCTTTCCTTCCACACCGTTAACCCTAAGGGTCCAAATACTTCTTAATTATCATATACTCTCCAGATAGTAAGCTACTCATAACTATTATCCTACACCTAAGTACTTACTTGTTTGGTCCTTCGGACCCTTAGGTTAAGATTTCGATTCAAACCCAAACACCCTACGCAAGCTAGGCGCTCGTGTTCAGTCTACGAGTCTGCGAAATGGAGTAGGCTTGTGGGTTCTCACGGGTTCTCTGATGTTGTCGTAAGGCTTCCTAGGTTTATTGGATTAAGTGCCTGTATATGGAGAACTTATGCTACAAGGGAACACGAACCTGCAAAGGAACTGCATTTCGGCGCGTAGGAAACCACCGAAAACACAACCCTAGACCGCCTAGACCTTGAACCCTTTATGGTAGCATCAAGTAGGATTCGCTTAAAATCAGTTTTAGGCTGGCTTAAGTCCCGGCATTGATGCTCAATTAAGCTGCGGAGGGGCGCAGTGGGTTTAGGATCCAGGCTGGGGAGGATCAAGGTTCAGTCACAGTGAGCGTGTGGGAACGTGCCCCACCAAGGCAACATAAAACTTCAACCACCTGACGACACAAAACCCAATCCGTATAAAGCCGTCGCAGAAGCTGCGTGGGTTGTTGTGGCGCATAGTATCGAGGGTAGCCTTGGGCCTCCTCCAAATCCGAAAGCCCGACAGCCAGATTTTCCCGGGCCAGAGTTTTAGTTAGAGGAGAGGTAACAGAAGGGAACTTGCTGACCTAGCTAGAAGGGAACGTCTGATGCCAGTCGCCTGCTCCAAATACACCCGAACAGGAAGCCAAGGAGGAGTTCAAAGCGCATGTTGCAATGCATCCACCCGACTTCTTCTTCTCCTCCTCAGTCCTCCTCGTCCGCCTCTGCTTTCCCAGACGCTGCTGGCTCATCTCGTCGATGGTTCCCTGGAGTGGCAAGGATGCTTCGCGGCAGCCGACAGTCCGAGTTGCTGGCGTTTGCGTGTGCAGAAGCCGCTGGAGATGTACCCATAGGCTCCATAGTAGTTCCTTTTTGGGGTTCGTATATAGAATCCTATAATGTATTCCCAAAAAGGAACTACTTTGGGGCCTCTGGGTATACAACTGGTGCATACACAGCCGCGCATATGTGGTGCTTCAGGTGCCTGTTCGTACATGTATATGTTGGTTTTTGTGTGTATACACAGACAGATTGAGATGCACAGATGGTTTTAGATTTACGTACATACAGACAGAGAAACAGACAAGACAGACAGACAGAGAGACGGACTGCTCTTCGTGACACATGCTTGCTACGACTTCCAATTTCGCCAGCTCGGGACAGAAATCTAAGTTTGTCGGGGGATGCGGAGCCCTGAACCTCGAGCCATATAGATCCCTCTACAAGCACATAACAAGCCTCGAAGGGCCCTGTGCTTCCTCTGAAGTAGATTAATGTAGACCTCTGATTCACAACGCCCCACTTCATTATTTACCTTATCATCACGATTGAGGTAGTCAGGGGCACGGCAACCCCCATCAAGATGGGAGCTGGGAAGAGGATGAGTTACGCTGGTGTTGCCTAGAGATTTACCTGACGGCATGAAGAGATGAGTCTGAAGCCTTATTGCAGTTGGCCCTAGACCCTGAAACTCTGATCCCTATAAATCCCATGTGCGCCTCACCCCCCGAACTACACTTTAAGTTATCGAGAATCCAGAGATAGAACCCTTATAGAGCCCGACTAGAAACCTTGTCGGATCCCTTAAGGCCACCCCTTGAACACCCTCTTTAAAGGAGCCCTTATTGTAACCCCACTGGTAACAGTAAGCCTTTCATATCGATCCCTTAAAGGATCCGGTTTATTGAAATCCTCGAAGCTTTTGGGACCCAAGGCTTCTATCGGCACGTCTTCAGTTTCGGTCTGGATTTGTCGCCTTTCATCGTGCATGAGGAGGAGTCGACCGGGCTCCTACTAGTATGGCGTACCATGGCTGTTTTGTGTAGGAGTCCAGGGTGTTTTGTAGGTGGTAGATACCTATTTTTGACGCTAGTGTTTGCCTTTGAATACAGTTCTTCTAGAGTTTGCTGTAGGATTTTACAGGTTTAGGTCTCTAGGTTATCCCTTCACACCGTAGGACAAACTGAATGTCGAGGGGTTTGCTGTGTGATAAAGGATCCTCTGGAGTCCAGGCCTTGTGGCTTTCGGGAGTAGGTATAGTTTAAGGCTGAGGGTATCTAGGTTGGATTTTGGGACATTTTTTATTTTCCTTATTTGGGTTTATAAGGGGCCCTATATATAAATATTTTTCAGGGTGTTTAAAGGCCAACCCAGGTATGTTGGCGTATGTATGTCACAAGACTCCGGTGAAGCTTCTGTGAAGGGTCCCGGGTTCCCGTGGAAAGGCCACGCAAAGGGGCTGGTGGTTCTTAGGGCGGTTCAAGGTTCGGTCTTCATGAGCAGGAGACAGCTGGTAAGCATGAAGTCTGAAGCAAAATTGGGTAGTTGTCAAAATTAAGGTCCCTTTTTGGGTACCCTAAATAACAAGTGCCGTATCATAATAGGGGCCCAAACAAGGACCATAATTTCGACAACCACCCAATTGTAACTCCGGAAGAACTCTTTCAAGTAGCTGTGCTGAGCTCCTACCCTAGGGCCCTAGGGCCCTATAGGGATCCAGTTGCAGAAGTAGTGGTTTACTTGCATATCGAATCTGTGGCTAGTAGCCTACTATGGAGGGCTGGAACAGGAGCCATAGGGCTATACCAACCCGAAGTCAAGGACTTTCCCCATCTGCTCCCCGAGCCTATGTTTGCGAGCATTCGAAGCGAGGAATCGGAATAAGAATATGAGAAGGAAGAAGAAGAAGTACAAACACAAACCTGCATCCTGGGTCCGCTGACAATGCCACGTAGACAATGCCACCTAGTGAAGGCAGTGCAGTTGCACGGAAACCTCCCACATAAGATCGAGCCTCACACTCCGAAGCCCGACAAATCTCAAGCGCGTTGAAACCAAGTATGGCCCTTTCAGGGTTTAGGGCAACAACCCAGAAAGATGGCTCATCAGAGCCTCTGCGCAGGAGGGTCGATCTAGTGGCTTGGAGGCCGAATCGCATGTCTCAGCTACCTGCAGGGCTTAGGAAGCATCGTCGTGATAGTTCTTACTATCTTGTTCCTGGTCTGCAAACATTCCTTGCATGCGGACAATGGGCTCAGTACTGGAGCATCAAGGCAAGTTGAAAGTTGGTTCCCAAGGCCCGTGAGGTTGCAGATCTTGTTTTCGGGAGAATCAAGAAACTGCATTTCGTAGGAAACCGCTCTTTGAGGTGAGGGTTGCAGCATAAACCCTGGACCCGAAATCAACTAGTAACTAGTTTGGCAATTGCTGTAAGATCCCTGTACGTCCTTGTCCTGGTTGGTCTCTTGTGTTGAAGCCTGACTAGCGCTGAAACCGCCAATCCAGAACGGGTGGGGTTCTACCTAGGGATCCAGCAGCTTTCTCTTCAAGGTTTACAACCTACACCATGGAGCCATAGTCCAGCATGGTGTAAGCTTCGGGGAAAGAGGTACAACTACCCTAAGGCTCCAAAGTAGTTCCTTTTTGGGCTTCATATGTAGACTCCTATAAGGTAATCCCAAAAAGGAACTACTATGGAGCCTCTGGGTAATTGCTTACTCTAAGCTGTGAACCCCCACGCCTTGATCATGTCGTTCTCGGAACCTCATAGACTCATAAAGCTTCCCGGAGATGTGAATGCATTCCAGCTGAGCTTGACTCTTCATGGTCATATAAATCAAGGAACTATCCTCGTACGATGAAGGGCGTTTTGTTGTGATTCTTGGGGTTTCAGAGTTGTTAACACCTACCCCTCAAGTCCTGACCGTTTTTAGGGCGTATGTAAGCTTTAAGCTTTCTGGGGCTGTGCCGAGGTTAGGCTTTAAGCTTACCATACTGAATGACTGGATGACGGAGGCATCGGGTGGTATTATTGTATCGTTTATCAGTGTACCATCGATTTCGTTTGTTCCGCCCGAGCCATTGAACCTGACAGAACCCCGAAAGAAAGTGCTGAATCGTAACTTCGTAACTTTTCGGGTGCTCCTGATGTTTAGGGTCCGTCACTAATAAGAAAAGGGTACCAGGAAGAGGGAACCACGCGCGAAGGCCACTTGCAGTACATCCCTAAGCCAACCCTCCCCCCTGACCCTAAATCTTGACCCGAACCCAAAAGAGAAACAAGGCCTGAACCTGACCTCAAACTCAAGACTTTCAACAAGCCAAACCCTAAGTTATGTACTTGCAACCTTCAACCTTCAACCGCCCCCAACCCAGACCCTAACCACCGTATGAAGACGAGCATCGGTCTCTTCGCCCAAAGCTAAAAGCCACTTGACTTCTCAGCCCTGAGCCCTCTATAACCCATAACCCCTACACCCTTGCAGCAATCGTTATACAACCCTGCAAAGCATCCCCAAGAAGAGCCCTATCTAATCTTAAAACCTCAACGCCGGGCAAGAAGCCCCCGAAAAGGCTGATGAGGTGGAGACTCTGAGGCTCGCAAAGTACGAGGGGGCGACTTGTATCTTCGGGTTCTCGCAGGGAGCATCGAATTTTCAATCTATCTGCGTAGTAGTCCGCAATTGATAAAAATCGTCTTACTGGAGTAAGTATTGTAGACTCAGGATAGTGGCAGTCTTAATCAGAACCGTCAGGCGAATAGCAACAATGAGCAGCTTATACATGTAGCCACCAAATAATGCACCCGCACTGGACGTTGCATGTAGCCGTCAAGTAGTTCAAGTTTCGGATGTTGGGCTCTTGTGGCTTTGTATGCTGTCGTATCATTGCAGCAGAATGTGTACCCTAAGGCTCCTGGACCCTCGTGGTGAGATCCCAAACCAAAGCCCGAAGCCTCCCCCAGAAAGCCCATGACCCCTTTGAGAGCCTTAGGGTAAGGTTTGGATTATAGATTGGGTTTGGAGGCGTGCGATGTCGCTCCAGTCAGACTGCCAGACTTTTGAAATCCAACAGACAGAAACCCTAAGCAGAGACCCTACGATTCGATGGTTCTATGTTTTAAGATAGGGCCGTTGTCGGCGTACTCATTATTTTGGATTTGTGGAGAGTTTTGGAAGCCAGGAAGTTCCTCAGGGAAGATACCAACGACCTCGCCACAGCACCGCGGACCGCAGATTGCAGGGAAAGTTCGGGTGTGGATTGAGGGTCATTTGGGGCAGGTTATAGCCTCTGAGAGGGTTTTGAGTGGGGATTTCGGTGCTCAAATTTGCAAGGGGTTCGATATTAACATATTTATCATGTGCAACTAGTTAGGACATTAGGTCTGTGGCTTCCTGCGTGCAGGAGCATGGGCCTTGGGCTTTTGGATATCCCCGAGCCCATGTTCTCCCTATGCTAAGCCCACAATTTCTCACTGGGCCGGCCCGCAATGAACAGTGCGGTGCTAGGGACTTCACCGGTATGTTATTTCTACTCATTCCGATCCTTTTGTTGCCCCCCAGGTTCAGCTGATCAAGGAAGTATCGTGGGATCGCTGGGAGGAGCTGGCCACGAACATCAAGCGCCTCGACTGCTGGGTTTGGATTTACGGCTGCGGTTCGGGGATTGGGTTTATACGGTTTACAGTTTAGGCGCTCATGGACTTGCGGTTAGGGGAGTCGGATTCTTCCTCAGGGGTTGCTGCAGAGATTTCCCTACCTTTTTGATAGCAAGCATTTGTCAAATTCAAATCTAACGCAGCCGTACTTGGGCATGGGTTTTTTCCATGTATACCCTGATCAAGAAGCCTGAAGTTAGGTGACGTCGGATGGCACAAATCGTTGCGAGGCATCTTAAAGTAAGAGCTTCAGAAATGGCCAATAATTGTGGGGTTCCTTATCATAATCAGAGAGTAATGGGCGAACCGTTGGTCAATGGAGGAATGGGGTACAATTTCTGTAAGAGCAGGCCCCACTTCGCTCCGAGAAGGTGGCCCGGGGCGCTTTGAACCCGGCGCCTTCTTTCCCAAGGCTCAAGCTCCACAGCCCGAACTTCTAAGCCCAACCGTATTTTAGGGTTTAGGGTTCAAGGACAGCCACCTATGACTTAGAACCTCAGCGAGAGCTTGTGCCACCGAGGCACAAGATTCGTCAAAAAGGCTTCGACGGCCTCATCCACGCACCCCCGGCCGCATGCATCAGGCAATTGCTGCAGCATTACCTTCTGCATCTTCTCCAGCCCCAAGCCTAAGCCCAAAGCCCTGGAGCCCCGGCGATATGTTGCAGGCATACGTAGGCTTAGGCCAGCGTTGTTTTTCTACACTTCGGTTTAGTTACGACCGCTAGCCGCTAGCCGCTCTCGCAACCGCATACCCTTGACTCAGGTGAGCTGGAGAAATACAGAGACGCTGACAGTCTCTTGGCTTTCTTATGAGGCCTTTGCCGGGGCTCGACCAGCACAACACATGCAACATCGCGAGCGTGCTGAGCTTTGCAACGGGGCCAAATCCCCCAGGGTCCTACAGAGTCGATCTTCAGGGTTACTAATTAATGTTAACTAATAAATGTGGCTACATTATCAATACATACTATTTTGGGGGGGATCCTTATTAAGATTGTAGCATAATGGGCCCCAAAACCCTATTCTAATTCTAACTATTATAAGGCTCCTATATTTCAACAGCTCCAAGAAATGTCTCCAAAGCTTGCTGGTATCTGGGGCTTGGTGTTCAGAACATATTTGACCTGGCCAGCTATTCACTCGAGAGTGTCGGAGGGGCTGCGCTTTGGGGTCGGGCGCAAAAAATACTAAGAACAGTAAGTGGACTCTGGAAGTTGTTTAAGGAGTTGAGGCCGCTGTGTTTTTTTTCAGGCTTCCAGCAGTGATGCAAATCGGTCGACCCCGGGGATCTCCAGAAGAACTACTTGAAGGGTCCATAGATCGATACAAGCAGTGCTTAAAGTCCCCCCTCCTCGGTGTATGTTACAAAATTCAAGCTAGCTCCCGCGATTTCATGTCTAGCCCGATGATCCCCGAAAAACCTTGAGCCACCATCTCTACAGCCGGACGAAATACAGCCTGAAACTGATCATGTAACTTCGGATTTTGGTGTAAATCCCTTTGACCCAAAATCTTATCACGTAGTTTCGGTTTCTGCTTCCGGGACTTGAGAGCTACGCTGCTGTGTAAAGCCATGGAAGTCTAGATTCCTTAGGCTTACACCACCTGCTTTCTTCGAGGTCTGAGGAGGTTTATTGAGTAGGGAGCCCCTACAGTAGAAGCCCAAAAGTTGGAAACCCAATAGCCTCAATCCTTAAGAGTAATGTACAGGGAATCCCAGCACTATTTGGCCTCAATATCCTCAATCCGGTTTCCAACTTTATGGGGTTTAGTGTAAACCTCCCACAGCCCCACGCACCAAGGTCTACAAGAACAGAACTTGGGCAAACTTCCTCCACCGTGGTATCACCCGCGTGTTGCTGCTCGCGCTGACAGTAACGTCCAGGCTATCGGATGTTTCTTTCCACGGCTTAAGTATGAGGCAACTTGATCAGGCCAACAGCAGTTCACGAAGGAATAATGGTCTTTGATAGACGAACGGATAAACGACTACATATGCACGGTGCGTATAATATGTTTCCTTGTCATGGTCCACGGCCCATGAATGGTAGAGAGGCCTCAGTACGTTCATGGGCGCCTTGTGGCTTGTTCAGCGATGATGGCATGTCTTTCGCATTGAGGCCACTAAAGGCTCGCCCAGGAAACGAATGTATACTTAAATGAAGACTGGCAATAGATTGGCCCTGGCTGCGCCGAGGTCAGGCAAGGGATTCTCCGTAGTAGGCTTTTGTAGGTGCTTTCTCTGATCAGAAGTGGCATGATCGTTCGGTAGATTCTTCCTGCATGCCCTTGGAGCAGGGTCTCACGTTCAGGGCATGTTGTTTCGGACGAGGGGGAGGTGTAAGCCTAAGGGGCCCTGAACCAGGTAAACCCGCAGACAAGACCGGAGGCTTCGAGGCAGTATATCACCTGCAGCCCATTAGCGCTCCCAACAAAGGCTGGCCCTCAGCGTCGTCGGCTACATGTGGTATGCTCCGTACATGCCACTTGGGATGCATCCGAAGTTGGGATGTGAAGCCCCAAAGTCCCTAGCGACCCCGTTGAAGAACCCTGTGCAATCCCATAAACACCTTACAGGAGCTCGATGAACCTGTAAAACCCTGCAGTACACCTTATGAAACACCCAAAAATCGAACCCTAGAAAGCCTTTGAACCTTGGAGTTTGTAGAACCCACCAAACCCTAAACCCGAAACCCCTAAACCCTAAACCCCTAAACCCCAAACCCCTAAACCTCCCTAATAGAGCCCTGCTTTGAAGGCACTTCCGCCAGCGAGGCCCCGAGGTGCATCCGAAGTTCAAGGTCGTGCCTGGGCACTGTGCTATGAGTTAACTTTAAACGACCTAATCGTAGTGTTTGTTTACAAAACCTCTGAAGATTGTACTTCTTTTTTCGTGAAGGTTATCGGTATTGGTAATATTTTGCTTATGGTAGGAATGTTATTTTGTGATGACAGTAGTAGTATTGGTACTACTCTTATGGCCGTACTCAAAATTTTATGTTTATGCCGTTTAGTCTACAGTAATGTGTTTTGTTTACGAATGTGACTCTAAGTCTTGTGGTTAGCATGAAGACTAGCATTATCTGTACATTTAGTTGTAATAGTGCCCATGATATACGACTTTGATACTCATGATTGCCATTGTGATGGTACTACGACCAATATCATCACATCTTTGCTGTTCTTGTCGGTTTGTTGTTTTGCTATTCTGCATACAAAACCCGAAACCAGCGCCGTAGCCCTGTTCGGTTGTTCTGCCGTTCACTGGTTCCTTTTGTGAGCAGGTCGAGGAGTTCTCAGGGTGTGGGGTTTGGGCTTAGGACACCGCGAGCATTCTTAATGTCGCATACCGTCACTATGCATTTGTACGGTGGCCCGAAGTCACGGCTAGCCATTACCTTACATGAATGTCGTAAGGCCCACAGCGTTAAAGATGGAATTTGCGTGGATTTTTCAATGGGGTCCGGAGTAAGGTCCAAAAACCGCAAGGTTGCAGGATTCCAGCCGAAATCGAAAGCTGTCGGCTTTTTCGGGCAAGACTATAGGATTTAGGGTTCAGGGTTCTTCTTGCTGCAAAGAGGATTTATTGAGGGATGTGTTGTCTATTGGGACAACGATTTCAGCGAGTTCGAGCCGCGCAGAACAACTGTGCCGAAGCTCCCTCTTGCTCCCTGCTGAGGATATCGACATCGAGAGCCTCGGCAAATTGTGTCCGAGTGGACTTGATAGAGTATCTACAGACATAAAAGAATTGATTTTCCTTCTCTTTTGGTGCGTGTTTATTGATTTATCTCATGGTATCTAATTAGGTCCTTGAACGTGTAGTGGTCACAGGACCCTCTAGTATAGCTCGAGCTGGGAGTAGTGTATGGCCTTGTTTTTTGTTGGGCTTGTTTTCGAGCCCCAGCTTGAACTCAATCAGTAGTTGCCCACGAACCAAGAGACTTCGTCTGGCAGAGCCCAAGTTGACAGAGCGTAAGGAGAGACAGAGACAGCACCAAAGCCAAGTAGGCCTAAGCACAAAAAGTATATTCTTGTGCATGCATACTAATACAATGACACAGACGAGAGAGAGAGAGAGAGAGAGAGACACAGATAGAGAGACGGAGAGACAGAGAGATAGACACAGGCAGAGCGAAAGGCAGAGAGTGAATGAGCGAGAGACAGCGGGAGAGGGAGACAGAGACAGAGACAGAGAGAGAGAGCGCCCACCGTCACCACCTCCACGTCCTACAAGCCGTGCTGCAGCATCGCAGCATCGTTTGAATAGATTGTTTGCCTTGGAGACGCTAGATATATGCAATGCAAACCCGGTGTTATGAAGGCACGGTGACCCCGTTCAAAGCTGTAAGGATAAGCGAGATGGCTCCTCATACCATAATGGCCCGATTGGCTGAACCAGATCATGCTACAGCTGATTGGGTTGGCGAAGGAGCTACTGGCAGCTCATTGGCGAGAAGATCAATGAGAGGGGCTTTGATCCTCAGTAGCTCTGTTGCCGTAGCTCCAAACGGAGATATCCGTAAATCACTGGGCGATGGTGCAGTGAATAGTCATAATGTCAATCCGCAGGATCAAATCCAAGTCCCAACTGAATGTCCGTGTAGACCCAACTGGCCAGCTGGTGCAAAGATCGCAAGCTTTTGGGGACCCTTGGTACTTCTTTTGAGGTGTCCTTCGGGTGGAGTTCGTCATGCTGCGGTGTTTGAGCATCCGCACTTCACAGTATGTCAGGATCCTCGGCATACCCCCCAACACCTCGCAGCAGTGTGCCAAGCCTTGTTGAAGTTCAAGACCAGAACCTTGCATCCCACTTCGAGCATGTAACATCAGATGTCCATACGGCGTAACTAACAAAGCTCCAGCTCTTCCCCCCTAAACTCTAAATCCTGAGCCGTAACCTTACTGTAGGGACTTTAGTGGTAACCCTTCAAATCCAAATTCTCAAACCCCAAACTCTACGTAATGCCTTCAAAGGCCCCTAAATCCCAAACCCTAAACCCTTTTAAACCCAAAACTCCCGGGAGGACCCCGAGTGGTACAGCACAGTGTATCCGCAGCGCAGCCACAGCGAGCACATGGCCGGCAAGCCGCTGCCCCAAAAGGGCTCCTTTAAAGGCTTCAAAACTGGTACTATAGGGGCCTTAATAATTGCCTATACTATTTTGGGGTTCCTGATTATAAATACAGAAAACTGGCCCCAAAACCCTATTCTGATTATTAAGGCCCCTACAGTACAGGGAAGAGGGTCTTCGCGTTAGGGTTCAGTCATCTTTAGTCTGCTCCAGCAAGAAATTGCAACCGTTCAGCATACCCTAAGGCCCCATAGTAGTTGCTTTTTTGGGCTTACCTTTTAGGGTTCTATATATGAACCCCAAAAAGGAACTACTTTGGGGCCTTAGGGTAGGGCATGTTGTGCTGGTTCTGAAGTCGAGCAACCTGTGAACCTTCATGAGACAGCGGAGGTCAGGGCTCAGGGTGTGTTTGTGTTTGTCTGTGGATCTAAGAACCGAACGTTTTAAGGGGTCATACCCTGAATTTGTGGAGTCAGAAGCTAGTCTTCTTGAGAAGCTTTGGAACCACAGGTGAGCGTTCAGGCTATATGAGACACTAGATTAAAATCATCAATGCCAGTATGATAACCCTGTACAGCTGCAAAACAGAAAAACTACAGATTTGAAGCAGCCCAAATTTCTTGAGCAAGCCTTGTATTAGAGTTTAGGGTTCCGTGTGGGAGCGGCTCAACCCCCATAAACCCTAGCACCTGACTCTAAGCCCTGCCGTGCGTGTTTGTCCCTGCTGCGTTTTTGTCCTTGCGAAGTAGGAAGCAAAAAACCTCAACCCTTAAACCTGAACCCTGAGACTCAAAAAGGCCCTCAAAAAAAAAACTGAACCCTGAAAGGAAGAAGATTGCCGGGCCATACATCTGGCATGCCAAAGCCTCAGTTGCTTCTTTGGAGGCCCCACCTTGGTGAGAGTTCCTTGAACAGGGGGGCTCGCGGTTGCCACGGTTTAGGGTTTAGGGTTTGCTCCCTTGCAGGTTAAAGACGAGGAGCCTCTCAAGACGAAGCGGGAGGCGGGTGTTATACTCTCTGTTCATGCCTCTAGGTACCCCGGTAGAACTTTTTACATTACATTTTCGGGCTCCTTCGGTAAACCAGAAAACACCTTAAGCACGACCTCTTTCATTGAGCTTTCGATTCTACTTCCTAAACACTTCAGACCCTGACAGAATCCAGGGATATGTGTGCTTCGAACCCGAGCAGCCTAGGATTCAGGAGGACCCCGGATCACAAGCAGAAGCTCGTTTCTTTGCCGTTGTTTTCTTGGGGATTTCGGCTCCAGCCTAGAGCACAGAGGATAAGAGGGAGCCGTCTGGGTCTCAATTTTCAAGGGGCACGCTGAGCTTTGGCAAACAGGGCCTTCCCCTAAACCCCAAAACCCTCTACCCCAGCTTGTCGGAGTTTTGAGAGCGTAAACCCAAACCCCTAAACACCTAAACCTTGAACCAGAGTTTCGGATCTACACCTTCGGACTTGCTGCAGTACGACTCTACGCTGCGGTGCCCTGGCGGACGCCAGGTGCAGAAGCACTGGCGGACCCCATACTTCCTTGCCGGGCCCTCAGACAGGCAGCAGGCTTCTACTAGTAGGGGGTTTTGTATAGGGCTGAAAAGGTTGTGGTGTAAGATTGAGGAGTTCTGAGTTAAGTATCCAGAGTTTGGTGTAGGAATGGTCGCTTGGCTGGGCTGCCTCCTGTGCTGTCGATGATTCGTCCAGTCCTCGGGCATCGACGAGGGGAGGTTTGCATGTTGTCCTTAAGACCTACGCCCTTTCGTGCCCGTGGTTTTATGATTTCAGTCAGGGTTGCATCACTGGAAATGGGATCTCGGGAAACACGTTTCGTGACTTAGTGTGTTGTGGTACCGTGTGTTGTCCACGCTTGCAAGGATATACATAAGTCTCGCCAAGCATGTTTAAGGTATGGTTCCTGAGGGTTGCCAGAAATACTCAGAAACAACATGGTTGAGGTTTCAGGATGGCTTGGGGTTTCGCCTCGGCTGCAGCCTACTAAGCTAAAAGCTCCTGGATACGAGTCTTTTAGGGGTGGAGGCTTCGGCACTGCATCCGCCATGTTTTGATTAAGACTATGTAGGCCTACGCAATTTGGTACACGGCCAAACATGTCGGTTATGACTCTGCGGAGTGGTCATGATAGTTCTGTGCTCGTGACACAGGAGAGTAGCCTGGCCAACCGCATCGAAGCGAATGCGACTCTCTCGTGCAGTTGAGCTGTGGGCTGCGGGAGTATTGCAACAATTGGTTGCGGCTTAGGTTTCAGGGTGTAGGATGTTAGGAATTCTCGGGGGAGAGATGGAGACAGAGAGTCTGGGACTTTCATGCGAAATGCTTCGAGGGCCATGCTCGAGTCATGGGACATTTGAGCATAATGCATATCTGGGAGCCACGGTTTGGGGTTTCTGGTTTAGGATTTAGGGTTTTGGGTTTGGGCTCAAGGTTTAGGGTAGACAGCCACATAGCTTTGACCGAAAGATCCGAGAAGTTTCAGTCAGACAGCATGCAACCATTGAGGACCAACAACAGACTTATCAACTCGCTGCCCTAATCCTCGAATTAAGTCCATCCCCTGAGAAAGCATCGAGTGACACAATGAGCTCATGATCAGATACCAATGATGAGTCCCTAGACCTTGAAGCTTAAAAACCCTGCAGCAGTGGCAGGAATCATTTGAGTTTTGGTTCTCCCTGGCGGGCGGTGGCACCTTTACACATGCCCTGAGCCAAGACTGTGGATCAGAATTGAGACGTTTCCTAGGCCCGAAGTGCACGGTCAAGGGCTTCGGGTTATTGTTTCAGATTTCACGTCCTCCAAACCCAAAATAATTAAACCACACAGGGCCGGATCAGCTGCCTCATTCGTGATCTGTATTATCTTATGTCCTCCCAAGAACCATCTAGGCAAATCATATCTACCCCAAATCCTTGCGGGGTCTGAGCAATCAGTTGGCAACTCATGAAATTAGTATTATGACGGCTCCCTGATGCCATAGGTCGCACAGCCCTGTTCTACGTACGAAGGCCCCCAATGTAGGCCCTTCGGGTGCCTAAACAGAAACGAAGCAGGCTGAAGACGTTCTTGCCGTCGTTTTTTTTTGGGGGGGATCTCTACATGCAGACTTGAGTTTACAGATGGCAGTGGCCCCGATGATTTGATTTTGCAGAAAGGGTTGGGTTTAGGGTTTAGGGGCTTCTCTGAATTTTACATAGTGTTCTAAACGAACCATAGGGCAGACCCCCACAGATTATTTTGGACTGCATGAAGGACCTGGACGTCCGACGACCCTAGACGTCGTAGAGGGTGTAGGGCTTAGCTTGGTCTCTAAGCTCATGGCTCGCAGCAGATAGAACTTCATCGGCTCAGTGCTTAGCCGGCAAAGCCTTAGTACTAAGTTCCTCAAACCAGGAACCCTCCCCCCCACCCAATCGCCCAATTTTGGAGTTGCAGCCCATCTGAAAGAGAAGGTATCACAAGTGTCTCTTTTTGCTCAGTGCTTCTGCTGCCAGACTCGAATAAAGGAGCACTGCACCGACAACCCCCTAGCAAACACACACACACACACACAAAAGCCAACCCTGGCCGCTGCTGAGCCATGGGTCGCGCAGTGGCCGCGGCAACATTATGCAGCCGTCGCAGGAGCCGAAACCTTGCATGAACCTACAACCAGACAAGAAGGCAACGAAAAAAGTCACAAATCAGGATCTAGGTCGTCAAACATGCCGGCCCCAGACAGCCACTGAAAAATAGTAGTGCTCTCAAGCCAGTTCTACGTGATCTCTGCGACAACCCAGATTGCAATTCCTTGTTCGGCGCAGCGATTTCCCTCCGACCTAGAGTCTGCATTCTGGTTCCAGTTTGGGTTTCCTTGTTCTAGGATCCTAACAATGAAGCATAACGATTGTTAAGCCAACAAATGGGAACTAAATGGGAGATTCAGGAGTCCTTGGTCCTGCCGAAAATACTTGTACACACGCGGATGCCTCGGATCCGACAGGAAGGGCACGAAGAAGCGCGTGCTCCAGTACAAAGCAGCTCTCCGGATTCCGTAGCGGAGCTGCAATTAAGATTGTAGAGCTTGCGGAGAGGACCACAGGATTAAGCAACATAGTTTGGAGAGTTGCTAGGGGTTTGGTGTGGTGGTGTGAGGGCGGTAGAGGTTCCGTTCTTGTCACTTGTGGCCATTATTGTCTTCCGCCTTCTGCCGAGATTTCCACACGGTCTTGCCGCAAGTGCAGTTGCGGGTCTGGTGAGGATGTGTGTTCGACCTATAGTACCTACCCGGAGGCCCCAAAGTAGTTCCTTTTTGGGAATACCTTATTATGGGATTCTATATACGAACCTTTAAAAGGAACTACTATGGAGCCTATGGTTAGTGTAGACCTTGTGAAAGCGCATGCCAACAGTAGGACTGCCAGATGGTTGGTTCTCGATATGCTACCGGAAGGATTAGCGAAGTGTTTAGAGTTTTCTGAGACTGTTGGGATGCTGGCTGTGGTAGTCGGGTCTTGAGCCTTCAATGCCCCTATGTTCGGGGGGTCATATTGCAGATCGCCAAGGAGAGCACCGAGCAAGAGGAAGGTCACCTTCCACCTGGTCTACAGCACCAACTGGATTTGCCACTTCGATTGTGAAGCCTCCTTGTGGTCTATTTTGTGCTCTGGTTTGCTCTGAACACCCCTTTCCTTAAATCCTGAATCTAGGCGGCCCAAAGCCATTCCCCCAAATGAGGGTGCTGATTCATCTTTGGGTGCCGCCTGAAGGTCTTGGTGTTGGCCACCTTCCACTTCGTAGTTGCTTTAACTTAGGCTTGAGATTTGACGTTGAGGCGAGTTTTACCCTGCTGATGAACTAGATGCTGCGACAGTAATCGAAGTCGCTTGAAAGGAACATTTCGCTCGGATACTCAATGGTCAGTTTCACTCACTGATCAACTAGATGTTGCGACAGACTCAAAGTCGGTACGAGAGGAACACTTCGTTCAGATACTCCGCGATGGTGTCCTTAGAGGGCTTGCCGCGATGGTTCCGAAGGATGATCCGCGACAATGACATTGCCCCTGGACGATGCAAGCTGACTACATGTCAGCACGGTGCCTGAACCGCCCTTTCGACGTGCTTCAGATGCATAGTTAGAGGGGCCATGTGGGCCTGGCCTCCCATGACGGCCTTGGTCGCGGTTTCAGCGCTAGGCTACCCAGGCAGCACGCTGGCGTGTGTGAGGTAGCACGCTGGGCTGTGAGGTAGCACGCTGGCTGGTGAGGTGGCACGCTGGCTGGTGAGAACATCAGCACCCTCATTTGGGGGAATGGCTTTGGGCCGCCTAGACTGAACGCAAAATCCCAGACCGCGCAGCCTAAATCTTGAATTCTACGCCCTCAACCCTTAGCCTTCTTAAGAGCCCACGAACCCGATTCAGAATTTGCCTGGAGGCTGACCCCAAACCCTCCTCTCCGTTCTGGGTATAGAGATTCGGATAGTTCAGCACAGTTTCCTAATCGAACAATCGTCAACCCTAAACTTACATATGAGCAATGTCCTACTTAGGCATGAGACCCCCAGACCTCTGTAATCACCCGTCGAGTAGTTGACAGAAACAACATATGTCGATGCTTGCATGGAGGCAAATGCACGCACGAACCTATGTGCCTACATCTGCGAAAAGTACGAGGCATATATGGGTTGCAGACATATAGTCTTGTGAGTCCTGCTATGGTTTAACATCTGCGGATGTTTACAAAGTAATGAAATTACCGGTTTGCACAGATGGAGCCGCTCAGCAGCGCAGTAGGTAGGCAGCTATACACAGATACATATAAATGCGCACCTTTGTTGCGGCATTTGGTGCATTTGGTTTATTCAATCTCGAACCCGAACCCAGGCACTGAGAAGATCGACCAGAGCATGCCTCCTGAGCTTCAGGAGGTCTGGTGAAGCGAGGTTAGGGCTTGGGGCTTCAGGGCTTGATACGGGGTTATAGGGTTTAGCAGAGTCTGGAATTTTGGGGGACTCCCCTTGCAAATGTGCGGGTGCCCGGCTGCGCAGGACTACTCCTGATATAGGGCAGCTCTGCTCTGCGTACTGCGAACTGCGGTTTTAGAAATCGTAATCCCGGTTCAGGATTATGTAGCGTTTAGAGGGCCTACATGAGGGCATGCTGTTCTGTCAGTCAGGCTGAGCACGGGTGCACAAAAACGCCTGCATGAATCCATAGGGTTCCCGTGGTGCTCGTCTTTGCCCAACAACCAGATTCAAAAGTTTTGAGGTACCCCAAAACCCTATTCTCAACATTAAGGCCTCCAAGAAGCATGTTCGAATCATTAACACCCCCCGCCCCCGGCAATACTACATGAACCATTTCCGCCCGAGATTCGGTGGGTGCAGGGCTTCGGGGCCGGGATATTCGGTTCCTCTTACGCCGACCCAGAAATCAATATCATAGACCCTATGACTAGCAGGATCCGAGTCGCGAGTTGAAAACAGCAATATAGCTTCCTAATTAATTAGCAGGACCCGACCCCGAATTGGGCGGCACCTACATCCCCAAAAGTAGGTAAAGATATGGGTCCAGGCAGGCTCTAAGATGACTGACTTTCCGGGCTGAAGATGAAAGCAGCACCTATACTCGTAATGCTACAGAAAACGCACCACCTCCCCCGTGCCTTTGATTGGCTCAAGACTTGAGAGCTTAGCTTCAAGACTCAGGTTGCAGGTTGTTACTATAGTAGGATTGATTTCAAGATTAGGTGTCTTGAGTTGCCTGGTTGCAGTGGGGCGTCATTTAACAAGAACTATTCTTAGCAGGCTGGTTGACTGTCCCAAGTGAGTCACAAGACTAAGCACCCTCAGACCCCATAATCCCTAAACCCTCAGCCCCGAAACCCTTGTAGCCCTAATCCTCCTGTTGCGATTCTTTCCGTCTCGCGAGGTGTTTTAGGTTGTGCCCCACGACGCAATCGTGCTTCGCTTCAGAGTTCTGGCGTCACTTTGTGTACGCGGCTGCTGTAGGACTGTCGGGCTCCAACGCTACGTTGATAAAAACGGTTTAGGGAAGAGGGCTTCTTGGAACTACCTAGAGGCGCCATAGTAGCTCCTATTTTTGGGGTTCATACTTTGAATCACTTAGAATCCTAATCCCCAAAAGGAACTCTTGTGGAGCCTATGGGTATGCATATTTCAATACGAACTGCTTCGGCTAGCCGGACTTAGCACTTGAGGCAGGAAGCCCGAGATGGTTGTCTCCTGAAGCTCTACATGCACACACCGTTTTGGTCACCATGGTCGATCCAAAGCCAGATTGGCTATCAGGGCTACGCAGATGTCGTTGCTGTCATCACAGAAGAGGTTCCACTTGATGAGGAGCTGTGTGGCTCTTTGCGCCGGCGAGGTCGAAGACATCTGCGTGATCTTCGGGAGGCTACTCAATCTATCGTGCAGTTTGATCGTGCCCGTGGATGCCTTTCCGTGACCGGTACGGAGTCGTCCATCTCCGAGGTTAAGCAACGCTTGGCAAGCCTAGGTGGCCCTCGACGAAATGTCGGGGCGCCTGTGTGGGCAGAGCTTATGAGGACTCGTACATTGCAGCGAGACGACGCAGCCCTGGCACGAATCCAGGGGGAAAGCGGGTGCAGAGTCCACATCGAGCGACAGCAACGGGAAGTGCGGATTTTTGGGCCTCTACACTCAGTGGCGATCGCGGAGAGCCTCTTGAAGGATCTCGAAGAGCGTTGCTGCGAGGACGTTGTTTTGGTTTGGGAAGCCTTGGACACGGAGACAGAGGAGACGCTGCAAGCATCACTTGAGCCTCTGGCAATGGACCACAATGTAACATTGTGCATCGACAAGACTCTCGGCGTGAGGATCTTTGGAATCAAGGCCGCTGTCAAGGCTGCGAGCAATGAGCTGAAGGAACTTCTGGAGCCACAGGGCTTGCTGGGTTTGGAGGATCGCCTTAGGGGGCGCGATATCCTGATTACAAGCGAGGAGCGCATGGGTGTGGTCTTAGCCCATGGGAGTCCTGTGATGGCCACAACATAATTCAGCTTCTATATTGCATGGCCACGGCTGGGCCTGTGGATTTCGTGTTAAGCCTGAGCTACAGTCTTCGTTGAATCCCGGGTTCTCCTATGCGTACATACTCGACATGCCACAGCCTGGCGCTGCAAATCATGCACCTCTAAAGTCTTCTTGTCCTTGCTAGTCAGTCGAGTAAATAGTTTTTTTTCGTGTGTCTTCGTGCTAGCCAAGAATCCCATGATGGAACTGTAATGACCGCAGTGCTCCTAGAAAACCGGACAGCCATTCATCTAAGGAGGTCATGCCCCATACGGAAACCCCTTTTCTCAGTGCCGCTGGTATAGGGGTTGTTAAAATCGTCAATCATGTTCCATAGGGCGCCTCATGGTTATTACTTTCAAAGATACGAGGCCCTATTCTCTTTAATTCTATTTGTGTAGGCCTCTCTATTATGGCATGCCTTGCTGATCTTTGCTGACTTGGTGCGTCTCCGAAGTCAAAACTGTTTACCCGAAACCTGAAAAGCTCAAATGCCCTAGCCCCAAGCTCCGAAGTCCCTTTCTAGCCGTACTCACACCTGAATTTGCTGCCTCAGCCCACCAATGCTGACCCGGACCTATGGACACATGCCCTGCTTGGACAGTTCGAGCGTGAGCGCCACAAATCCTAAACCCCGCAAGTTAAATCCGCTTAACACACATGCCCACAGCAAGTGCCACTCCCGAAAAGCCACAAAGCTATCCCTGTATCCTAAATCTTAACTTAGACTTACTAGATCAATCCAAAACTTCATACAAAGGGCTCTGAAGCCCGGTAAAGCCCCGCAAAGCCGTGGTTGTCCCTGCCAGGCATCTCAGAGACTGGCGGCGCGGCAGCCACTTTGCTGCGCCGCTTGGCAGGTTTTACGAGGTTTTCATATGGTTTTAGCAAGGATCCCCATTGAAAGAAGCGGCCGGTTGGGATGCTGTGAATCCGGGTGTGGCCTTCAGGAGCTTGAGGCGTAGGATTAGAGATCAGGGTTTGGGATTTAGGGCTTTGAGGTGCAGTGATTTGAGCGTAGCTTTCAGGCCTTAAGGTGTGAAGGCAACAGGGATAAAGCTCCAATCGCGGCTGGCAGATCCTGGAAGCAAACACTCAGACAAAGAGACAAGCCGACCCAAAGCGACGTAGGCGTATACTATTTCAGGCATAGCATGTGGTGTGCTCGATGGCGTGCTGCTGTTCCGGCCATCGGCCTTTTCAGCTCCTTGACCCAAACACCAATTTCACGAGCTCTTCTCCTTTCGATGTGTCTTGATACCTGCTCTTACTAGAATTCCTCAGGGTTTCCTTACTTTTTGTTTTGCAACATGTCCCGCAAGCCCAGTACATTATAAAGGCCCTTATCCATATTGTTCGACCCATGCGTCGGCACTCCCGATGTGACCGCTTTCACGCCGCAAGGAGATGACAAGTTTGGCCTTTTGCTCCATGCTGGCGCGGGCAGCATCAGAGAACGGCTTCGAGGTGCCGTGAAGCCGCTGATGTCGGGTTCGGGCTTCGATAATAGGATCCTGAGCATGTAGACGCATTCACATGGCACAACGGACACCGCTGCATAGAAACCCTATACTACTACTTTGTACTATGCTGTGTAGTACATATATATATATATATAATATATAATATATATATATATATATATATATATGTCTTGTGTGTGTATACATATATTTATATATACAGGTAGATATATGTATACATGTATATACAGGTACTTTGGAAGCTGTGAACTTGTGAGTAACTAACCCTAGATGCTGAAACTCCTAAGCTTCTTCGATTCCACCGCACTGTGCTGCTAAAGCCATACTCTCTTGCCAGGGACGCAACTCGGAGCGTGTACTTATGCAGTAGTTCATGACGGTTTGGATGTGGAGTCATGGGGGAAGATAGCTAACAAAATTGCCAGCTATCGCATTACGCTGTTGTTACGAACTAAGAAACGACACCGTTTCAAGCCGTACGAGCTTGGAACATCATGGAACCATGTAAATCCTGGGTCCTCGCCATCGTCCGACGCTTCAACCCGGTTCGCCAAGCTGTCAGGGTCGAATCCCTCAAGCACGATCTTATCAGATCTCAGTCCAGAGGGTGAAGTGTCCTCCACAGTGTTGCAATTAAAAGGAGCAACGTCGCGATGCCGGTGTCTGGTCCCCAAAATTCAAGCCTAAACCAGGCATCCCTGAAGCCTTACTACGGGACCTACTGTACATAATTAACTATATAGTATAACGGGCCCCAAAACCCTATTCTAACTCGTAAGGGGCCTATATTACTGATGTTGCTTTCCTTCTGGTGGATGCCCTTGCCCAGGTGCGACGCTGGCCCGTGAGGGATCGGAGCTCGCAAGCTCGAGCTCGCTTCATTCGAACAGGGTTATATGATGTATGGCAGGCATTACCTGGATCCTATAAAACCTTTCTTTTTAGGGTCCTTTACTATGGTTTCCATATATATATATATATATATATACGAGTTCTTAAGAAAGGTAGGCTATTTGGGGCTAAGGTAGTCTATAGGATTGAAACATGCTCCGACAGGGACTATCAAGCGATATCTTTACGCAAATCTGTTTGCCGTCGTTTCTTGTTAATTGGTTTGAACACGAGCCATCGGTATGTAGTTGTTCAAGTGCATGTGCACGTTTATGTAATTACACCTCCCAAATCTGCAGAAACAACAAGCCTGCCTTTTCGTATGTAGTTGGAGCGACAGGTAGACAAGAAAGGTAGACACACACACACACACAGATACAGAGACGGAGATTGGCAGAGCCAGACAGACAGAGACAGAGACAGGCAGGGAAGGTAGGTTAACAGATGCATCAAAAACATACATGTGTAGAGAGACAGATGTAAGAATAGACAGAGGCAGGTAGATAGTTTTTTTGATTCGCAATACTGTCGGCAGTATGAAACCGACTCACTCCAGCAGCGTAGCATTGTCTTCCAGATTGACTTAGAGCATACCTCAATGGCTCAATCAACTAACCTGACCTGACAGGATTCGGCACTAGGGATTCCGCAATGCGCTTGGCCAACTTTTGGACTTGATCAAGTTTAGAAAACCTTTATCAGAAGCAGACACTGAGCGAGTGTTTTGCCTGCACGGTGGGTTATGGGTTTGTGGGTTTGACAAGCTGTACCTATAGTGAAGGAACAGTGGCCCCCTATATGGTAAAACCCTAGTATAAGACCCCTCAGAAGGTACAATACTGTCGCCGACCATGTAGTTGACTGGGTTCCGAGGAACGGTTTGGAATGTTGGTCAAGATCAGGGCGAACCCAGGCTTGAAACTGTATAAGCCAAAGTTGGCCAGGTGGCTGGCAGTGGGCGCAGCCGCAAAGCATGGTGAGGCTTTCGTGCAGCACTTGAAGAGTCAAGCCTTGGCTTTGGTTTTGGTTTTTGAGGCCCTCAATCTTTGCAAAAAAACTGTTCGAATGCGGCTTGTGCAGATTGCGGGCCCTGCGGCGGTGATGCTCCACGCATGGCATGGCAAGTACGAGAAGGAGTGCGCCTGAGCTTAAACTAACCATTGATGCTGGGGGAGCTAAGGAGCTAGGGATCATGATAATCCCTATTCAATAAGGAGCTAAAGAGCCAAGGGAAGCCCCAAAACCTGGTCATAATCAGGCTCAAAGGCGGTTTGTTGCTGGCGATCGGTTGCATTTTCTTCGGCCGCGGCTATGGTCGAAGGTCTTGAGCAGGTGTTTCTTCAAGCCAGCTCTAAGCCGGAGACCTTGAACCTTCTGGCTCTGAATCCTTGAGCCTGTATAAGCCTTTATAAACCCCCAAATCTCAGCCGACTTATTACCAGAAGCCATGCCAGCTCTTGAGCGAGTGTGTGAGTGGACACCCCAAAATCTCGAACCCTATAGACCTACATGGGAGTTTCCGAAAATAAGGGGTACCTTATAATAAGGATCCTACTATTTGGGGTACTATATTAGGGTCCCCCTATCTTCGGAAACTCCCCACATGGCTTTACTGCCAAAGGCATCCCGGCCTGGGACTACTACCCGGTCTTGGAGGTGGGTTTCGGGGTTTAGGGTTTAGGTGGGCTGCTCCCCCTCTGGCTGTGATGTGAAGTTCGAAAATTGAGGAGTGCCTTTTCACATGTTTTTGTTCGACTACAGGTCCTGCGATGTGAGGTTCGGGTTTAAGGTAGGGTTTAGGTTGCATGTAGGCCAGTAGGGTTTTGGTTTCAGGATGAAGAGTTACTGGGATTCCTGAATTTCTGCAATCGGTGAAGGGTTCATGCTGTTGAATTTGGGGGTGAATTCTGTTGGGATGTCAGCGTTGAGGGCAGGCCATGGTTGTGACACTTCCAGGCGGCACCATCCGAAAAGGGATACGAAAGGGCTGACATTGTTCTAGGTTGGGTTTATGGTTTCGGAATTTCGGGTGTGGGCAGGATGTCTTGGTTGATATCGACAGCGATGCCGATACTGGGTACTCAGCATCAAATGTATACAATTGTATCATGGACCTGCTGTTCCAACTTCGCCAGGCTCTCAAGCAAAGTCCGTGGGACCCACCAAACTGAAGCATATCCGAATACGCTAGGCCTCAACACGAAGCTCGTAGATTACAAGCGAGCAGGCCGTGAAGTCCCGTGGACGGCTGCTGTATCCCAGCGCAGCCTTGGACCAGCTCCACAGTGAGAAGAGGCGACCAAACATTGACGGAGAGACCTCGGTAGGCCAAGCGCCCTTAAGGTTTTGCAAAAAAGGGTTTGAAACATTCGCGCCACATGTTGCTTCCCAGCAAACTCCCGAGCCTAGTTCGCAAGTTCGCGAAGATCGCATCACGCTATTCAGCCCCTAGCGGCCTTAGCGCGGAGAGACTTGGCGTGAGTGGAGAGTGGGCAGTTCTCTCCCAACAGTCCCCGAAAGCAAGAGCAGAGTCGCTTGTTTCGGCATTCTCCAACCTAAACCGGCCCTGAACCCTTCTCGGGTACCCTACGCCCTGCTTGGTCAGAA